CCGCCCCCCGGGGGGCGGTACCACCCCCATTGAGAACCAATGGTTTAAACTATAGCTGCCTTGTTAGGGGAGGAAAAAACTGAGCACAGAATCCCATTGCTAAACTGCTGCTTATCTTTGTAGGATTAAAATATGATTTCACGATATGTGTAGAACAAGCCTGTTATTACAAAATTGCCAGATTAGCATAGAAAGTTCCCGATTAAATTTAAATACTTATGATAGAGTTTTGAAAAGCTTGATTCATACATGTCTCTTATAAGTCATATGTGAGAATTCTTCCTTTTTCACATCTTATTGCAGGCTGGTGGAAAGGAATGAAGCAATTCTTTCCTGCTAAATCTGCAGACCGTGAAGAATCATCTGTTCATTATAACAGCAGTGAAATTAATTGCCTTAGATCAAGAGAAGTTACTACTGTGCTACAAAGTCAATCTGCAGGTATATCTTCCCCAGTTTACACTGATTTCAATGAATGGTGTAATATTCAAATGAAATGGATTAGCAAAGATGCTATAGTTTTCCCACAGAATTATTTCAGGTTTATGAAAGAAGTTACTTGACTTAGAGCACACCCACTTGAAAGTTGCACTGATATCATGGAGAAAGCTTGGAAAGCCAGCCTTTCTTCAGAGCCAGCTGGTTTTTTATATGGCAACTATTCTCAGGTAATTTATTAGCATATTTCTTCTCACCCAATAAAGTTTAAACTTGGGCAGTAATCATTTGAATCAGCCCAAAATCTTTTAAATGGCAAATAAAACACATAGTATATTTGTGTACTTTTTATAGAGAATTCTTGGTTGCTAACTGCTTCAGTGAACAAATCTTGAAAAGTTGAAGTATAAGAGTATCAGTCTGGTTTCTTATTGTATTGTGTTGGTGGGTTTTTAAAATAAAATACTATATAGTCACTATAGGTATTAACCTTTTTATAAATAGTGCCACTATTTCTGATTCCTTTCAAAGATACAGGATAACATACAAATCATTCATGCTGCAGGCACTGATTCAATGAAGCTTTCACCCCGTCTACTACTGAGGTTGTCTTTTTTAAGTGTGCCTTGTATGTAGACTTATCATGCTGCAAGTGCTTTGGTGTTTTTTTCTGTGTACTGAGATCATTAGGATTGGAACAAAATTTCACTTTTGGCTCTCTTCAATAGAGTATGCGCAACCACTTGTGGGAGGAATTGTTGGCACACTTCATCAGAAGTCAACTTTTAAATGTGAAGAAGGAAAAGAAGCAAGTTATGCTGATACGGATCCTTATAACACCTCAGAACAAGAAATATATCATGCTTACGCTGAACCGCTCCCAGTTACTGGACCAGAATATGCAATACCAATCGTGATGGATATGTCAGGTCACCCTGCAGCTCCTCCAGGCGTTGCTTCTGTATCTACCTTCAAAGCTTCAGGGAATCAAGCTCCTCCATTAGTGGGGGTTTATAATAAACTTCTTTCCAGGGCAGATAGTTCATCATCACCCACACATATGCTCTACGATACACCTAAGGGGATGCCAGGACTGAGCCTTCCAAATGAATTGGTATACCAGGTACCACAGAATATGCCACACTCCACAGAAAATAAAGAAGATATTAGTTAAAGAGTTTTCTACAAATTAAATCCTTAGAGAAAAAGATCAGACTTTTTTGTGTTGAAGAAAAGTGTGAGACTGTAGGCCCAGAACAATGTGTGTACTGCTCTTTTGAGGGCCAATATACAACTACTGCTTTCTTGTATATAGAATGAAAAGCTTGTCATTCACTACTGATGGGCACTACATTCCCTGTTAGGCATGAAAAGTTTAATCTCTGCCTAATTGGTTAGTGTGAATACATACGTCATTAAGACACATCAGTAATCATTAGATACTCCATATGGCTGGTGTGCCTTGGAAAAGAAAGACACTGTTTCTTACTCTTTGAAGTCACTGACACTACTAACAGTCTGATAATTCACAATTCATAAGGCTACGCATAGTACTGTAAAAGTAAGCTGAACAAAACACAAACTCTCATTTTTTAGCAAGTATTTATACAAAACTAAAATTGACCTCTGCAATGAATAAACATTTCATTTCTGTAAAGAAATTAGTTAGTAAGCTAGAGATACCAGAAATACCATACACTGCTAATCACTCTTTGCTGGTCATTGAAGAGGATACTTTCATTTAAATACTGTTCTCCTTTTCATATGAAATACTGTAGTGTCCATTTACCGGAGGTAGATTCCCTGAAGCTGGAATTTACATTAGAACTTTCTATTTCTTTCTCAAAGACATTGGTTTTCTTGCTTTTCTAGTGAACGACAGGTTTCAGATTTGGTCCACTTATGTATTCACTAGGTAGCTTTCTTTTTCAACCTCAGGTTTCCCATGTACAACATGGGCATGAAAATGGATCTACATTGCAGGGCTATTGTAGGAAGGTGTGTTAGGTGATTTAAGGTACCCAAAGTGTGATATAAATGTTAAGTGTTATATTAATATTAAAGGATGTTGTACTGAGGATTTCTTAGCTGCAAATATAATCTTTTCAGCTAAGAAATGAGAATAATAGGAAATAACCACCTACCCATCCTATTGTGGCTTCGTCCCACAGTAGTAAACTGGGCATTGAAGCTGAACTTTTTTATATAGAAAGGTATAAGCACACAAACATATTGTGCATGCATCTGCAGATACAGGTCAGGATTTTCATATATTTATAACTGCACAGCTTATTCTTCCAAATGTTTTTAGATATTTTTATGCCTTAAGAAAAACATCTTGGTAGCTTTTACATTATGAAATCTGCTGTTGATTAGATTAAAATGTGGCAAAAACTTTAAAAACAAATTGCTGCTTGATGTAGGCTGAGATTTAAATTATTGTTAATGAGCTGAACATTTTGGAAGTTCAGAATTATGTGTTTAGCTTAGAATTAAAGGTACTTCATCTTCTAGTAATTTTCTTTCCCAAAATGTACATATTTGAACCAATTAGTGATTTTATGCACAATGAAAAGTATTGAACACAAAGCTATATAATGTTGCAAATTCATTCCCCATTTTACCATGTTAAATGTGTATCAAGAAAGCACATGAAAAAGTGCTGTTTTATATTGTATTTATGAGCACTGTAGTGATGACAAAATGGAATATTCCTTAGTATGCAACAGCCCAGTTTTATGGACTTTTAAATGTTTTATGAATGTGTAAGTCAAAAGACCATTGTGTACAGTGTTGCTGAATACACAATATCTAAACCTAGCTCAATGGTAAATTTAATCATGACAATCACAACTGTGTAATATAGAAATGATTCCTTAACCCAATGTTTAATTTCAATTGCACAGAAATTTGCTCTTGTGCCTTGCTCCATTCCTGTTGTTTTTATTTATAAAAATGATATATAACTTATTTTTATTCTGTAACTATGGTACTCTAAGGTTGAATGTGTGTCCAAAAAAATTGAGAACAAGTGTATATGTAAACCTTATACTACCACGTATTCTTTGAATTCTTCCTTTGAAGAACCCTTCCAACTCATGTGAGTAAATACCTGCCAGAATGGACTGAAGAAGTTTGTGTGAATATACTAAGCTCTGTTCATAGACTTACTTGCCATTTTATACCAAATCATATTTGAAAGATATGGGTATAGCATATGGTTATAACAGAATCAGAGTTCCTGATAGCATATAATTGTTTCTTTCTGTAACCAAAACACATTTCTAGCAGGAAAACACAAGTAAAGTAACTCAAAGATTTAAATGATTATGACTGTTTTGCAATGATAACTTTTCTATTTCTATTCTTAGTTTAAGATTGGAAGTGGAACCTAAATTCTTCAAACTGAATTGTGCAGGTGCATTTAATGATGCAGATCAAATGGGATGTTTTGATATTTCATTCTAATTATACTTATTGTATGTATTTATTAACAGTATTGATAAATTAGCATTAAAAGTTATGTACTTGGTTAAACTACCTAAAATGTCAAACAGTATCAAGTTATATCATGAAATGAGAAAAACCATACCAGGTAGCTTCCCAGTTCCTAGTGAAATAAAAGAACGTAGGCTTGATAGATAGTACCGAGTCTTCCCCTGAAAGTGTTTTCTGCCCAGACTGTAGACCTACCCTAGCTTTATATTTTTTTAAAAAGTATTTTTAATCTAAGCCAGTTAAGGTGGCTATATGTGTGTATATCACGCCAAAACCTACAATTCTGCATATGTGAGGTTTCCCATAAAGTTGATGCTACAAAAATCACAATTTAATTCAACTCTATGGCTGCTTTTCCAGTTTCTTACTGGAATTATACACACATTTATGCAAAGTATCTATTTGGAAGTATGACATGTATTCAGGCCATTAGCCTTAGTATGTTTAAATGTACAATCAAGCAGACCTTCACTTTTATGTTCATGAAAGCTTGTCACATCAAATATTACAACACTATAAAAGGAGCTACATGGGGAATTGAAAGGTATCAATACAAGACAGATGAAAACAGCTGTCTTAATTTACAGCACTACATTTTAAGCACTAATGCTAAGTCCTGAATATTAAGACACACGGTGCATACAACCATCTTCCAAAATTCTTATATCTTTTTGTTTGTTTTTTAATTTGCCCCAAGTTGTGTCTTCTAAATGAATTCTAGATGTGCAGAGTGGTCTTTGCTATAATGCAAGCAAGAATGAGTGCACAGTGATGGGTGGTTATTTTCTTAGAATGTATTTTCTTACCTCAGCATGTTCTATACTGTAATCACTCTGTTTTTGTATATGTTGCTAGAATTTAGATAATATCTATAGCAATTTTTATGTAAGTTAAAAACTTTTAAAATAAAATGCACAATGTGGATGTTTATTCTGTTTAAAAAAAAAAACCACTTGTACAGCGTAAACCAGAAAAAATATTTTGAAAAAAATCTGAATTCCCTTTTTATCTTACTGAATAGCTCATCAAAAGTCAGCAACAGTTTTGGTTTTGCCTCAAGAGTCTTCTGGTTGTTAGGATAGAAGACAGGTACATACATACATACATATTCTTCCCAATGCAAAGGAGCATGAGAAGAAATTATTCTTGGCTTTAAGGGTTGTAAAGTAACTGAATTTTGAGGGAAACGGGATTACAACAGCATCATGAGAGTGGCAGCAAATTTAGGATATTTTCCACACCTGGTAGGAGTCCCCAAGTTGTTCCCAGCACAGCAGCTTTTCAAGGCAAGCCAGTTTTATTATTGTGTTGCAGATGGGATGAGGTCAAGTGGCTAAGAGAAGGTGGCTTGTCTTATAGCTAATATATGATTTGAATTAGGTTCTCTAATGATTTCAATTCATTATTTTTAGCCATGGGATTTTAAAATAAGTTTCAGGCCTTCCATGATAGCACTTTATGAAAAAAATCCAATGGAGGTCTTCACACAAAATATTGTTTTATTATAAAAGAATGGTGGATGACAAAAGAATCTACACATCTTCTGCTTTGTGCACTTTCAAAAGTAGCTCAACACAATAGAGGGCAACAGAGTTGAGAGAATGAGCTACAGGAATAATTCATTAGAAGAGTCCCAGCTTCACAGAGCCATCTCTGCATAGTTTGATTAATTCTATTTCCAGAAGTTCAATTGTTTCTTTCTTTATCTGAAAAAAATATTATTTACCAGCATTAAAATTAACACAGACTTTTTTTTCAAATGTAAGCACACATAGCTGAAACCTTGCAGTTCTCCCATTTTTAATATTTATATTTATTTATGTATCACTCTCACACACACGTATATATATTTGCACAATATCCCTTATATTTTACTTGCACAATAACCTCTAAAAATATTTAGTTAGGAAGTGCTAAACGCTAATTAGCATACATAATAAGTCAATCTTGTAGGTAGACACTTCCCTCTAGCAGTTAATATTCTAATGGAGCTTGCCTGCTCCGTTACTTAAATTTGTCTACAAAAAATCTTGAGCTTCTCTGCAAACAAAATTTAATATACTTGTTTGATCATCAGGTGTAACAAACATAATATGTTGGTTACAATATTTAGCTGGAAAACTGGGTAGACTCTTCCAGAGGAAGGGTGATCTCTCCTTTCAACCTGTATTGATTAGATTGTTGGGATGGCTGACCTCAAGGTATTCCTTAAATGCTAGATCTGTCCTTAGTAAAGCTGCGCCTATTCACAAGTTGGTGATGGACAAAAAGGCAGACCTGGCAAATATTACCAAAAGCTGTCTGAATGAGGACAGGGATGTTGCCCTTTCAGAAATCTGCCCAGCCAGTTTTCAGGCCCTGCATCAGTCTGGGGAGGGGCAGGGGGTGGCATTGATCCATCATGAAACCATGTCTGGGACCAGGGTCATTGTTTCCAAAGTGGTAGAGTGTGACTGCCACTATGTTAGTAGGCTGTAGGGAAAAGCTAAGGGTCTTCAGGGTGCACCAGTCTGCTGCCATCCAATCCCTCTCTCTGTTCCTGGGCTAGTGGTTGAGTCTCCCCTTTTGTTGCTATTTTGGGACATCAATCTCTACACTGCAGGCTGTTTGATAGAGCCCAGGAATTCACAGTCTCCATTACAACCATGGGCTTGTTTCAAATAATTTTGGATCTGCCAAGGTGGCCATGTTTTAGACCTTGATTTCGCTTTGGAGCAGTTCTCGTGATCTGGATATAGAGGATATCGCCCATACCCCTTTGTCATTGTCAGATCATTTCATGGTCCAGCTGCAATTGATGGATGTCCATTACCTTCACAGGGCTGCACTGACATTTCATGGATGCAGAGTTTCAGGCAAGTGCCTTCAGGATTTTTACAATCTGACAGAAGTCTGTTAAACTGACTTTGCTGGTTTGCTGCTGACAAGAGCAGACCTCTAGGGCCTCTGTTAGCTGATTCCAGGTGGCCCTCTGGTTCTCAAAAGGCTCAGATGAAGAGTTCAGCAGGCTGTTATCTAGTAGCTTTATACTGAATGCCAAAATCCCTTTTGGAAAGGAGCCAATTGCAGGATCTTCCTTCTAGCTACTGACTAGAACAACATTTTGCTAGTAAAATTACTCAGATTTACTCAAGTTTTGACTCTACATGAGCAGGGTTCAGAATGATAACTGAGACATCTTCTCAGGTTATGATCTCCAAGAAAGTGGACAGGATACTCTCTAGAATGTCTTTTGCCACCTGGAGCTTGGATCCTTGCCCTTCATGGCTTCTTTGAGCAGCTGGAGAGAGAGAATTCCTTGGATCCAGGAGACTGTCAATGCTTCCTTGGAAGGGATATTGTCAGCTTTAAAGGAGAAGATGGTACACCCTTCCTTAAGAAGCCCTCATTGGATCCAAAGGTGTTAAGTAACTACCATCCAATCTTTAACATTCCCTTGTTAATTAAGGTTGTTGAGACAGTGTGAGAGACCAACTACAGAGTGCCTTGACTGGACCCTTGTCAGTGAAGGTTTTGATCTAGAAATGGGAGACCATCATGATTTCACTAGTGGACTTTTGTTGAGCCCTGGATGAATGTGGTGTGGCTGTTCTGGCATTTTAGACATCTCAGCAGCTTCACTGAGATTTTAGACATCCCAGCTGTCACATCAACCACAATATTATTCTAGACCAACTTCAGGAGCTGAGATCTGGAGGCAATGTTCTGCAGTGGTTCCACTTGTTCCTCAGATGGTTTCAGTCAGTTGTGAAAGGAGAGGAGAAACTGACTGTTGCCTTGGCTGCTCTCTTGTGGGGTGCTGCAGGGCTCAAGGCTCTCCTCCATACTGTTTAACATACACATGAAACTACTGAAGAAGGTCATTTGTTAGTTCTAGTTTGGTACCATTGGCATACTGATGATACTCGGCTTTACAGCCCTACTCCAGGCTGTATTTGTGAGGATGTTAGGTCTTGTCCCAGCGACTGGAGACTGTGATGGTCTGGATTGGGGAAGACAGGCTAAAACTGAATCCTCAGAAGATGGAGTTTGTGTTTGTCTATTGGAGTTCTCAGACAACCCCAGTGATGTCTCTGGGAGGAAGAATAGGCAAGTCTGTGATTTGAGTGTCCTCTTGGACTTTTGGCTCCTAACAGAACAGAAGGCTAGGTGGGTGGGTGGGTGGCTTTGCATAGCTTCAGCTAATGTGCCTTTCTACTACAACTCATGCCTTCATCACTACTTGCTTAGATTACTATAATATGTTCCATACCAGGCTGCCTTTGAAGACCACTTAGAAGCTTCACTTGGTCCAAAATGGTACCTTCTGGTGTTCACTGGTGCAAGCCCATTATATATGTGCTATGGGCCCTACATTGGCTTTCTATAGGCTTCTATAGAATTTAGGTAAATTGGGTACAATTTAAAGTACTGGTTTTAACCTATAAAAAGTCCTTTATGGCTTAGTACCATGTTACCTTCAGGGCCACACTAAAACCAGCCCAGCCAATTTGATGGTTCCCCAATTTAAAGAGGTGTGGGGTGGGGGTGGAGGTGGAGAAGACTCAGAGGTGCTGTTTTTCTGTAGGAATGCCAGTCCTCTGGAATAGCCTCCCATTAAAGTTTCATCCTTGACAGGAGCTATTCCAAAAGGCATTTGAGGAATGACACCCGATTTTGGATTTTTTATTTTTTAGATTGTTAGGATTTTATCACTTTTATTGTACTGTGGATATTTTAATGGTTTCTATATTCCATAAAGGGGACACGGTGGCGCAGCGGCTTAATGACACTGAAAGTTGCCGGCCAGAAATGGTCGACGCTTCAGCGATTCGAGTCCAGCCTTTGCGTTAGCAGGGTGGGGTCCTGG